CAGAGTATACCTAAGAGCTCTTTATCATCTTCCATGCCCTTGGTGCAAACATAAAGCTGTTTTAAAAGGTAAAACCATTCAATATTTTGAACATAAAAGGAAAAGATATGCCCAGGAGTCTGACCATCTCATGGAGTCTTAGTCCGCCATTCATTAAATTAACTTGAGGCAAGTCACTTTAAACTCTCTAGCAATCCATTTTCCTGTCACTAAAATAGAAATGGGAACAGGGTCTACATTTTTATAGCAGGTTCAGGAGACAGCCTACATAACAAAGTACAAAACACGGGGCCAGGCAACAGTAGATACTTCAGAATGGCAGCTATTGGTATCACTGGTCTTATTGCACACATTCATTGGATATTCAAATGCATAGGTTAATGTGCTATTAGATTTATTTGTTTTTAAAATGACTATTCACTTGCATAGTATATTTACTTTTAGAAGATTTTATGATTTTTAATTATGTGTGCATGTTGGGAGATAGATACATGTGTGAGCGTGGGTGTTTAGGGAGAACAGAGGCAAGGCCTTCAGATCTTTAACGGTGGTTGTGAGCTGCCAGACATGGGTGCTAGGAACAGAACCCTAGACCTCTGGAAGAACACTACACACTCTTAACCATTGAGATGTCTCTTTAGCCCTTATTTATTTTAATGAGAGAAAGAAAATTGTGAATGCATTCTATCATGTAGAATCTATAAAACAACATGAGTTTTCTCCGTATGCCTTAAAATGCTGAGAAGTGTGCCAGCATGAATTGTCCCAAACTATTTACTTTAAATAGCAATCTATGGTAATGCAATGAATGAATGTTCATTAGAGGTTCTGCGTGTCCGTTATGATGTCATTATGCCTGCAAAGCAAACAGTTAACCACCAACAACCAGATTTTACCTTGAAATTATACTAATTTTACTGGCAATACTTAACAAAAGTGGTTTGAGGGATTTGGTCGATGTGAGTTCTGAAGCAGACGGTACTTCCTGACATGTATTGAGCTTTCCACCCACCCTTAATGCATCAGCCGCTCCAGGAGAGAGACTTAAGCATTTGTGTGTTCAAAGTCTTGCATGGTGATTCCAGCCAGGCTGCTTGATCCCTCCACACACTTATCCAACACAGAGATGGCTATGTGATCTGCCAGTGTCTGAACTGCCTTTGGTAATGTAGCTCAGTAGTCACCATCATCGGGGATCATGATCAGCCTAGAACAGTTTCTCCTGTCAGTGTTATGATCCCTTTCCATCTGCAACTGGGGGCCCTCTTATCTTCAGATTCTCTCTTGCTGTGTACGTAAGTGTGTGTGTGTGTGTGTGTGTGCTCCACGCCCCTGTGTGTGTGTGTGTGTGTGGGTTGTGTGTGTGTCTGTGTGTGTGTGTGGTATGTCTGTGGGGGTGTGTGTGTGTGTGTGTGTGGTATGTCGGGCTCTGTGTGTGTGTGTGTGTGTGTGTGTGTGTGTGGTATGTCTGTCTCTGTGTGTGTGTGTTTGTGTGTGTGTGTGGTATGTCTGTGTGTGTGTGTGTGTGTGTGTGT